ACGCTATGGCCAGAGTAGCTCCGGTGAGGGTTGTTTTAGTCTTGGTCCATAATTAGATAGAACAACTCAGTTGTCTCTTACTCTCTGTAAAGGACTGGATCCAGGACACACTCTCCTCTAATCATTTCGTATACTTTAAATTATCTCTAGATTGCTTATAATACCGAACACAATGTAAATGCTATGTGAATAGCTGTTGTACTATATTTTTTGGTGCACTGTTGTTTCTTTCTTTTAAAATCTTATTTATTCCTGAGAGAGAGAGAGAGAGAACCAGCACTCCAGAGTTCCCACACCATTAGCCCTCTCAGGGTTAGCCAGCCCTGGATCATGGGCATGCATGTGCCTGTGCTCGTAGGGAGGTCTTTGAACACAAACTTACAACCTTGCCATGTGAGTCAGCCTCACAGAGCGGTTTACCACCGTGCTATTGTCTAGCCCCTATATTATTATTTCTTACTGTTTTTCCCCCCTCAAAAACAGTTGAATCTGAGTAAACCAAGAACAGTTAGCCAATTGTATTTCAGAACTTAAATTATTTTATAATGGCATTTTCAACAAATAGCTCCAATAAATCAAGATCACTTATAATAATAATTAGTGGGCCAGTCCCTGTGGCCTAGTGGTTAAAGGAATCAACTATGTAGTTTGAGTCCTGGCCCTAGTGGCTTGAAAAACACGTCAGGCACATGCACGTGCGTGTATAAAATCCTGATGGGATGGAGAATTGGAAGAAAAAAGATTACAGCATGACCATGCCCCCATTGACTGGTGATTCTCCCTCTTTCTCCCTTTGCCTCTCTCTGGCAAATGCATGTACCCTCTGGCAAAAAAAAAAAAAAAAAATTTAAACACAAAAAAAGAAAATATAGTAATGATGATGGGCCAGCTAGTATGGCGGCTAAAACAGCTGGAGCCCACATGACCAACTGTGCAGTTCAGATACCGGACCTGGTGGTTCGAAAAACACACTGGGGGACCAGCAGATGTCATAATGGTTATGTCACTGGACTCCCATGTAGTCGACCACGATTCGAGTCCCAAATCCGGTGGCTTAAACTCATGCTGGGAATGTGTGCGTGCGTGCCCAAGATCTCAAGAGGAGAATGGAAGAGAAGGGATTGCAGTGTGGCCCTACCCCCTGGGGGGTGATTTCTTGCTTTCTGTTTCTCTGTTTCTCTCTTTCTGGCGAGTGCATGCGCCCTATAGCAAAACCCTCTCCAAAAAAAAAAAAAAGACTCTCTTTCTGGCGAGTGCATGCGCCCTATAGCAAAACCCTCTCCAAAAAAAAAAAAGAAGAAGAAGAAAAACACACTGGGTTGGGGGACCAGCAGGAGGCCTGGTGGTTAAGGTGCTGGACATTCCCACATGGTTGACCATGATTCAAGTCCTGGACCTGGTGGCTTACTTTTTCACTCCCCACCCCCATCTCTCTGTGTGTTTCTCTCTTGTCAAGTTACAAAATGAATGAATAAATGAATGAATGAATAAATTAAATTAAAATAAACCTTAAAAAAAAAAAAGAAAAACACACTGGGTATGTGTACCTATGTGCCCAAGAGGAGAATGGAGAAGGGATTGTGGTGTGGCCATCCCCCCAAGGGTGCTTTCTCACCCTCCTCCCCCAGCGAGCTCATGCCGTATAGCAAATAAAAATTTTTAATTACAATAATTAAGTAAATGGCCCATAAAAAGGGATATCAGTAGTTAGAAGTAAAAAGACGTTTCACACAGGCTTTGGGCAAATGCTATGAAAAAAAGTCAGATGCAGAGAAGCAGTATTATCCTAAGTCAGTGTAATTATAGCCTAAGCTCTGACTTAAAGGAACCAGAGCCATCCTGGCTAGGAAATACCTCCTAAGTAGTTACTCATCTTCTATCTTCCCTTAAAATGTGACAATTTTCCAATTTGCAAGTGTAAAGCTTAAAAATACCGTTCTTGGGCCAGCTCCATGGCTTACTTTAATTAAGGCGACTGAATCACACACGGCCAACTGTGTGATTTGCGTCCCAGACCTGGCAGCTTGAGAAACTTGCAGGCACATATACATTCATGCCCAAAATCCTGAAAGGAGGGAGAATAGAGAAGAAAGTTAGCATGACCATTCCCCATGGGGTGTGGGGGGATTCTTTCTCTTTTTCCCTTCTCTCTGTCTCTCTGTATCTCTCCAGTGAATGCACACACCTTCTAAGGGGGCAGGGGGAAGCCATTCTTTCTTGGAGCCTGTGATTTTTTTTTTTTTTTTTTTGAGAGGGCATTTTGCTTTGCACTCACTGGAGAGACAGAAAGTGAGACATCACCCCCTGGAGGGATGGCCATGCCACAATCTCTTCTCCTCCATTCTCCTCTTGAGATCTTGGGCATGCATGCACATACTCCTGGAGTGAATTTTAAACCACCAGGTCTGGGACTTGAACTGCAGTCACCTACATGAGAGTCCAGTGACATGTACATTATATCATCTGCTGGTCTCTGGAGCCCATGATCTTTTTACCAGAGTTGATCTGGAAAAAAAAGGAGGTGGCCACAGCATAGTCGGTTCTTCAGGATGGATGAAAGAGAGGGCAGAGAGATGTTTGGAATTCTCAAAACAAACTTCATCTTTTTTTTTTCTAGTTGTAAGCTTCCCTTTCTCAGGCTACAGCATATTTTTCATTTTATAAACTTTATTGCCTAAGGAAAACTACCTTCTTCCAGTCTAGGACCCAAATAGTAAAACTGAGCCCAAGCAACTACATAGGCTGGGAAAGGAATTATAAGGTTGAATTCAGTTCTTAGGGTAGTGTTTCAATAATGCCTTCCTCTTTCTTCCCTATGGACACACAGGTAGCACTGGTGGCTGAGATGGCATCCTTTCTAAAGATCTGGGGCATTATCTTGGCCTTCTCGTTCCTCCTATGCAGGCTGGTTGTATATAACAAGGACATTTCCTGGAGAGAGTTCATGAAACAACACCACCTAAGTCCAAGCAAGACATTCAGCAGCTATAAATGCGATGACCTCATGAGGGAGAGAGAAGCTCTGAGAGACAAGGAATCTCATGTCTTCATCTACGCCTCCTGGCACAAAATTGACCGTGTATGCTATAGTCAAAACGGGAAAGACCGATACGGAAATGTGTATGTATGGGTCGAGCAGCCCTTCAAAATTCTTAAGTGTCAAAAGGAAACTTCCAAAAATAGCTACATAGAGACCAGGAGCTACAACCACATTCAATTCCATTGCAGCATGGATGGATATGTTGATAGAATAGAGGATATAAATGTGCTAGAGCCATTGGACAAATAGAAGCTCTCTCCATAGCTCCAGGTTTTGGTAGAGGGTTAATGTTGCCCAAGTGGTGGTCTCTGCCTACATTGACAGCCTCAGCCACTCCGCACTCTTCATTAATGTGTCAGTGTTTCTGAACTACTTAGAATTATGTATCATGTGGTTATTTGATCTCATAACTTTGCCTGTGTTGTTCTCTGTCTGGAATACCCTTCTGTCTTCATGTATTTAATCTACGCCTACACATTCTTCAAGACTCAGCTTGTATAGTACCTTTCCTTGACTTACCCCAGTCTTATCCTGATAATGACTCTCCTTCTCTCTAATTGAAGTGAAGGATCTTCCCTAAATAAATGATATTATTCCAATATGTGTGACATTTATGTATTTTATGCATGCAGAATTTGTGTTGTATGATTGGTATGAATGGTGTGGGTCTGTATGACATAGATTATGTTTAGATATCATTTGTGTCGTAAACAAAAAAACCCAAAAAACTATGTAGATTATTGAAGGAGGATTGTTCTAAGCCAGTATTAGTGACCTCATCCCAGTAAATATAATTGTTTGTTTGTTTGTTTGTTTTAGTTTGCCAGAGGGCATGTGCACTCACCAGAGAGAGACACAGAAGGAGGGGTGGGAGAGCAAACCTCTTTGGGGTATGGTCATGCGACAACCCCTTCTCTAGAGAAATATGATCTTAAGAAATCTTGAGAAAACCCTTTCTATGTAGCAAAGTCTCAGCAGATCTCTTACACATTCAGGAAAGCAGAAGTTACCATCAAAATTGTAAATCAAAACATGGAAATTATCCACTGGTTTCTCCCAAGAGGTAGGATAGCTTGACATTGGCAGGGGATGGGAAGGGTTTACAAATCATAGGTAGATCTAGAGATTATTAGTTTACTATTGACTCAAATATCCTGGGCCAATAAAAGTGTTCACTCACAGCTTCCATTCGTTCTCTCCATGTACTCCCTGACCGCTCTGTGTGTGGCCTCCAGGCACGGCGCATAACCCCAGAACTTAGAAATAATGAAATTGGGGACCAGCAGATGGTATAATGGTCACGTTGCTGGACTCTCACATAGTCGACTGTGGTTAAAGTCCCAGACCTGGTGGCTTAAAACCCACGCTGAGCGTGTGTGAGTGCGTGCCCAAAATCCTGAGAAGAGAGCAGATGAGAAGGGATTGCAGCGTGGCCATCTCCCCAGTGGGAGTGATTTCTCGCTTTCTGCCTCTCTGGAGAGTGCACACACCCTATAGCAAAAATCTCTCTTTAAAAAAAAAAAAAAAGGAAAAAGAAGTAATACACTTGTTTCTATTTTGTGTCTCCCTCAATCATAGGAGGGCTGCTTTCCATCTTAAAGATCCTAAATTGAAATAAGTACTGGGTTGGAAAAATGGTTATTTCCTACTTGGAAAGTCAGAAGCTTTCATTTTAAAGCTTAATTAAGATGGGGGCCAGCAGATGGCGGAGCAGTTACATCACTGGACCTCCCACATGGCCAATGGCATTTCTAGTTCTGGACCCCATGGCTTGAAAATCACGCTGGGCGTGTGTGCGTCCGTGCCCAAGATCCTAGGAAGAGAATGGAGGAAAAAGGATAGCAGCTTGCCTATCCCTCCTGCGGGGGAGGGGCGTGATTTCTCACTTTCTCTCACTATCTCTGTCTCTTTCTCCAGCTAGTGCATACACCCTAAGGCAAAAACCTCTTTAAAAAAAAAAAAACTTAAAAGGGACTTTAGAGATCGCGGAACTGAGGAATAGCAAGTAGGTTTTAGCTTGCGTACCAAATGTAATTGGAATTTTCTATCTAGAATCTATTTTTTTCAAAAAGTTCTACACAGTGATGTGGTTGAACAATAGCCTTAACTGAAGGCACTTGAAAGGCAAGGGTGTATGTGTCATAGATTTGCCATCCCTGACCTCATGTAACCCAGCTTTTAGGTAACTTGTTCATGGTCTTCTGTAGTAAGTGGCACAGCTGGGACTAGAACCCAGGTCTTCTTGTTTCCCTGTCATTCTTTCTGCTACTAGAGTCTAACTCAGGAGGAAAACTCTGCAGTCTTTCTCTTCCACTAAGTGCTTCACAGTGGTGGTTCTCTCCCTGAGCTTGCTGGTGCACTCACTCACAGGTTCCCAGTACACTTGGCTGTGAGTCAGCTTAGTTCTGGGCAACCCTTCCTTAGAGCCATTCAAAGGCCTGGAGTAGGCTTCTATCATCACTTAGTCATTTTGCTTGATCCTGTTTACAGCGGCATCTGCTTTAGACAAGGCCATAGAGCTAGAGAAAGGCTCAGTTTCAGCCAATACGACCAGTTCCGTCATTGTCTTTACACACAAGCCTCATCTGTTGTATATTACTCATTGCCATGCTTTACAGATATCATAGTGTTTTGTGAATTAAAGTTCTGGGGCAACCCTGAGTTGAGCAAGTCTGTTGGCACCATTTTTCCAACAGCATGTGTTCACTTCATGTCTCAGCTTTATATTTTGGTAATAATTTCACATTTTTAATTTATTTATTTATTACAGTGAGCTATTCAATGTTACTATTGTATTTTGGGGGCACCATGAATCACAACCAGATAAGACAATGAGCTTAGCTGATAAATGTTGTGTGTGTGCTCAGTAATCCACTGATAGCTGTTCCCCCACCTCGGATCCAGGACTTGAATTATGAAGCTGTCCATGTGAGATCCAACCCCTTTGACCACCATGCCACTGGCTAGCTTCCAGATTTTTAATGTAGACAAAACAGACTTATATTGGAAGAAGATGGCATTTAGGACTTTCTAGCTAGAGAAGAAAAGTTAAGGCCTCGATAATCACTGTGAAACAGCAATATTGAGTTTAGACCAGTTAATAATCTGACATTGGCCTCTAGGCGTTCAGTGAAAGGAAGAGTCACATGTCTCTCACTTTAAACCAACAGCTAGGAATGATTCAATTTAGTGAGGAAGGCATGTCTAAAGCTGAGACAGGCCAAAGCGTAGGCCTCTCGAAACAGTTATATTGCCAATGCAAAGGAAAAGTGCTACTCCAGTGAACACATTAATGACAAAAAAGTGAAACAGCCTTACCGCTAATATGGAGAAAGCTTTAGTAGTCTGTATAGAAGATCAAAACAGCCACAGCATTTTCTTAAATTGAAGCCTGATCCATACCATCCCTACTTCTCTTTAATTCCATGAAGGCTGAGAGAGGCAAGGAAGCTGTTGAAGCTTGAAACTAGAAGAGGTTGGTTCATGAGGTTTAAGGAAAGACTCGTCCTCCTCTTTCCTTAAAGACTTGACCTCCGTAACATAAAAGTGCCAGGCGGAACAGCAAGTGCTGCTGTGGAAGCTGCAGAAAGTCTTCCAGAAGACAGCTAAGGGAGTGGATGCTAGGGGCTACACGAAACATTTTTTTTAATTTGCCAGAGTGCAAGTTTCCTTGCTAGAGAGAGACAGGGAAGTGAGAAACACGCCTCCACATGGGGAATGGTCATGCCGCATCCCTTCTCCATTTCTCCTTTCACATGCGTCTGGTGTGTTTTTCGGGTTGCGGGGTCCAGGTCTGAAACTGCTCAGTCCATCATATGGGATCCAGCTACCGTATCCATTGACTGCTGGCTGGCTCCAGATTTTTTTTATCATTTGTGTCGTAAACAAAAAAACCCAAAAAACTATGTAGATTATTGAAGGAGGATTGTTCTAAGCCAGTATTAGTGACCTCATCCCAGTAAATATAATTGTTTGTTTGTTTGTTTGTTTTAGTTTGCCAGAGGGCATGTGCACTCACCAGAGAGAGACACAGAAGGAGGGGTGGGAGAGCAAACCTCTTTGGGGTATGGTCATGCGACAACCCCTTCTCTAGAGAAATATGATCTTAAGAAATCTTGAGAAAACCCTTTCTATGTAGCAAAGTCTCAGCAGATCTCTTACACATTCAGGAAAGCAGAAGTTACCATCAAAATTGTAAATCAAAACATGGAAATTATCCACTGGTTTCTCCCAAGAGGTAGGATAGCTTGACATTGGCAGGGGATGGGAAGGGTTTACAAATCATAGGTAGATCTAGAGATTATTAGTTTACTATTGACTCAAATATCCTGGGCCAATAAAAGTGTTCACTCACAGCTTCCATTCGTTCTCTCCATGTACTCCCTGACCGCTCTGTGTGTGGCCTCCAGGCACGGCGCATAACCCCAGAACTTAGAAATAATGAAATTGGGGACCAGCAGATGGTATAATGGTCACGTTGCTGGACTCTCACATAGTCGACTGTGGTTAAAGTCCCAGACCTGGTGGCTTAAAACCCACGCTGAGCGTGTGTGAGTGCGTGCCCAAAATCCTGAGAAGAGAGCAGATGAGAAGGGATTGCAGCGTGGCCATCTCCCCAGTGGGAGTGATTTCTCGCTTTCTGCCTCTCTGGAGAGTGCACACACCCTATAGCAAAAATCTCTCTTTAAAAAAAAAAAAAAAGGAAAAAGAAGTAGTACACTTGTTTCTATTTTGTGTCTCCCTCAATCATAGGAGGGCTGCTTTCCATCTTAAAGATCCTAAATTGAAATAAGTACTGGGTTGGAAAAATGGTTATTTCCTACTTGGAAAGTCAGAAGCTTTCATTTTAAAGCTTAATTAAGATGGGGGCCAGCAGATGGTGGAGCAGTTACATCACTGGACCTCCCACATGGCCAATGGCATTTCTAGTTCTGGACCCCATGGCTTGAAAATCACACTGGGCGTGTGTGCGTCCGTGCCCAAGATCCTAGGAAGAGAATGGAGGAAAAAGGATAGCAGCTTGCCTATCCCTCCTGCGGGGGAGGGGCGTGATTTCTCACTTTCTCTCACTATCTCTGTCTCTTTCTCCAGCTAGTGCATACACCCTAAGGCAAAAACCTCTTTAAAAAAAAAAAAACTTAAAAGGGACTTTAGAGATCGCGGAACTGAGGAATAGCAAGTAGGTTTTAGCTTGCGTACCAAATGTAATTGGAATTTTCTATCTAGAATCTATGTTTTTCAAAAAGTTCTACACAGTGATGTGGTTGAACAATAGCCTTAACTGAAGGCACTTGAAAGGCAAGGGTGTATGTGTCATAGATTTGCCATCCCTGACCTCATGTAACCCAGCTTTTAGGTAACTTGTTCATGGTCTTCTGTAGTAAGTGGCACAGCTGGGACTAGAACCCAGGTCTTCTTGTTTCCCTGTCATTCTTTCTGCTACTAGAGTCTAACTCAGGAGGAAAACTCTGCAGTCTTTCTCTTCCACTAAGTGCTTCACAGTGGTGGTTCTCTCCCTGAGCTTGCTGGTGCACTCACTCACAGGTTCCCAGTACACTTGGCTGTGAGTCAGCTTAGTTCTGGGCAACCCTTCCTTAGA